TTCTGTTGGTCTGGCATGGAAGAAAGGAGGTTTGGCACAGACACAATTCTATGTCCAAAAGCCTTCAAGGTCAGGGCATAGCATTCTTCTTTCTCTGAAGCACCTCCTGAGTTCTGTCCTTGCCCACCAAACACACAAGATAATTCAAGTTTATCAACTCTCTGTTCCCAGAATCTCTGGGTGACAAGAGTCTGAGAGTCAGTTTCAAGGATTGGAGCAGAAGGATGGGAGAACTGGGTCCTGTCCTCAAGTCCCTTCTTATGAATGGTGGGCTCTTCAGCTACAGGGTGCATGCCAGGGAAGCCAGCAACTCTGGTGAAACTTTGAGGGCAGACATCTTCACAAGTGGCTGCTCCAGTGAAGAGTCAGATTCCCAGACTCCGGGCAACAGCTACTCTGATGAACCCTGCCTGGGACAGGAGTACCAGATCATCGCCCAGATAAATGGTGACTACTCTCACCTGCTGCACACAGTTCCTCCAGATTATGAACTTCTGACAACCAAGAGCAAGAGTGTGTGTTAAAACTTCCCTACTAGGCCAAGGTCTGTTGATATAATTGCCTTTTTAGCTCCTGCCTTCTGCACGCCCCTCCCCTTCCCTGTTACCTCTTTTCCTGTATAGCCCAACATGTCTTCTCTGCCAACAATGGAATCCATATGAGTGACTGGCTTTGCCTAAGAAGTTGCCACATGCACGCAAACAAGCTTGCTGCTAGCTTGGGCCCTGAGCCTTTGTAGTATCCCTGCCTGGACTTCTGCTGCTTCTCTATAATCACCAGAGAGAAGTGCCCATACCACTAACATTTGGTCATCATGCCTCCAGACACCACTTAAATTTTGGCCTCTTGTCACCAGAAGACCAGAATGAGGCTCAGCTCTGCCAGCTTAGGGAATCAGTTGTGTCCAGAATCATTTTTCTTTTCAAGGCCAAATAGTTTTTAATTGAGATTGTCATGTAACAGGCCAGGGGTTAGTTCTGCTCCTATGCTGTAAGTCTAGTGTTATAACATTTTGGTGCTCAATAAATATCTAATCATAATAGCAACGTTGGTTGTATTGGTCTTCTCTCAAGGACCTACCAAAAGTGAGACTAGATGAGATGGTTGGGACCCTGGGATAGCACCTTTACTTTTTTTGATCTTTCTGCTTCCCATCCATGCCACGCTTACCTCACTTCAGAGGTGGGCCCACCTGGAACACAATGAATATTTGGTGAAATTGTACTCAACTACCTTCTATTATTCCTTTCCCAATCATTTTGCCAGTTCTATGTGGATGGATCTTCCCAGGTTAATTGGAAACCTTAAAAAAAGGAAACCTTCTTCTGTCTCAGGAGACTGTGGATGCAGAGATAAAGGGCTCCCCTTCTTTCCAAAGTATGGATGTACCACCCTCAAGGATTTCTACCTCCTAGAATCATAAAATCTTTGGAATAATTGTATTCTTTGTAGGTCATCCCTATCTCATGGTCCCTTCACACAATATGGGGTGGAGTTCAGATCAAGGAAGTCTTTCTCCTTAAGCAGTAATGGGGAATAGGAGTGTGAGCATCTGTGTGTATGTCTATCTGTCTGTGTGTGGGCACACATACATACATCTTTAAATCAGTCTCCCCTATGAAAGCCTGTTTTAGGCCAGGTAAACACTACTTCTTCCCCCTCATGTAATTCATGTTAAATCAAATTCTTCATTCTTTGTAAAAGCTGACATGTTGCCACTTTTGTTTCCAATGCAACCCCAAGGTCAGTTCAGGTTTCATCAGGAGTTTCTCCTTTTTTGGATAATTACAGAAGTCAAAATAGTACACAAAAGTAAAAAATGAAGAGTCCTCCACTTTACCATGACCACCTTACCAAGTCCATGGTTAAAACCTCAGCATTTTCCTCATCCCCAGTTGCCGGCTTTGCATAGCTTATGAAAGGAGCAACTTTTTCTTTCCTATCATGCTTACAATCCTCTGAAACAGGGACCCCACCCAGTGGAAACCTCAGCTTCCTTCATAAAACAGCTGTGTCAAGATCACATAGCCATTTAAAACAACCATTATCTATTCCTACTACCCTTAGAGAAAGGAATTACTGAGGCTAAGAAGAGAGTTCTAGTTGCATGTCCATGCATAAAAGGAGTCCCAAATCCAGAGATCACTATCTCCATAGAAGCTATGGACTCCCAGGGATATCATAGGGTTTCTTGTCTTGGAGAGATTAGAAATTATTGATTTTAACTCTCCCACATTAAGGATGAGGAAATGAAGCCCAGAGAAAAAACAGTGACTTGCCTAAAGTCAAATACTTCAAGCCAGTTGTAGAACAGAGACCAGATGTTGAGTTTGTGAACTCATAGAAGAATATATTAATTGCAGCAGGAAACTTCTAGAGATCATTTGTGCCTCAAAACTGATAAATGTTTTATACAACACAAGCCAGTAAGAGAGTCATAGCTACAGAATAAGCTAAACAAAAATGGGATGATAACATACGACCTGTTTCAGGCAGGTGGTTGGTCAGGGGAAAGTAGGGGAGTAAGAGGAGATCTCAAGAAGAGAGTGAAGGGGAGTTTGGAGAAACATGGCGGAGGAAGAGATTTCCCCCAGATCTCACCCCTTGAAGCAACAATAAATTGAACATCTAAAACTCAACAACAACAACAAAAATAAAACACACACACACACACACACACACAAACTACACACCAGCACGTCTGAGTGTGGAATCTGTGCATAAGAACTACCACAGCTCAGAACCATGGGTGTCGGGCAGTAGACTGGGAGAAATAAAGAAGCTGCCTCTTGTAGCCACCAGGGCTCCCTGTAGGAGAAGGGAGAGGGGAGAATGTATGGTGAGTTCCCTGAATAGCCCTACCTGGGACTGCTGTGAGCACCACATGGCGGGTGGAAAAGCCTAGTTATCAGGGCAGAAAGCAGACAGGAGGGGAAGGCAGAGAAGTGGGACAGCAGAGAAACAACAGTTGATTTTTACCCACCCAGTTGCAAAATTGAGACTGAGCCACAGTCCCCAAACCCCAACACAGAGGGCCCCTCCCCACATATCCTATGAGACCAAACACTGTGAAGCCCCAGGGTAATCTGAGCAAACACTAAGGAAACTGTCACTAACACTGACAGAGACTGAAACTGAGGCTAGCGAGTGAGATTAATTATCGACAAGAAAATAAAAAGGCATTATTAAGGCTTTATATAAAGCAGGGATCCAAGAGGGTTAGACGCCACTTACTAGAAAACAAAAGAAAGTGCCTTCTTTGCAACAGGCTAAAAAGAGACCTTTATATAATAAATTTTCTTTCTGGAAAAACAGCAGAATACACTTCCATTAATGCCCAGGTGGAGAAATAGTCTATTAAACACCATGAACAACAAAGGTGACAAAGACATCTCAGAAAGAAAGAGAAAAATCTCCAGAAAATAAGCTTACAGACATAGAAATATGTGACTTAAATGACAAAATTCAGGATTCTACTTCTGAAAAAACTCAGTGAGTTCTGAAACAAGTCATATCAACAATTTCAGGAACTGAAAAACAAACAAAAAAAACCCCAAACAAACAAACAAACAAAAAAAACAATGAGATGAGCAGAACAAGGAGACTAAAACCCTCTGGAGATAAAAAATAGAACTTCTGGAGATGAAGAACATACTGAAAGAGTTGAAAAATGAAATAGCAAGCTTGGGAAATAGAATTGACCAAATGGAGGAAAGCTGATACCATCAATAGAGGAAACATAAGAATAATGGGCATTATCAAAGGCGAAGAAAAGGAGCAAGGACTAGAAAGCATTTTCAGACAAATAATTGATGAGAATTTCCCAAATCTAAGGAATGAACTGGAGCTTGGAATTCAAGAAGGCAACATAACACCCAATTATGTCAACCCTAAAATGCCTTCACCAAGACACGTTGTATTAAAATTATCAAAAATCAACAACAAAGATAGAATTCTCAGTACAGCCAAGGAGAAGAAAATGGCAATTTATGAAGGAAACCCATTAGATTATCCTTGGACTTCTCAGCACAGACCTTATAAGCCAGAAAGGAGTGGAATCACATATTAAAAATATTAAGTGAAAGGAACTACCAGACTAGAATAATGTATCCAACTATGCTCTCTTTTAGATATGAAGGAGAAATAAAGACCTTTCCAAACATACAAAAATTGAGGGAATTATCCACTATGATGTCTGTACTACAGAAAATACTGAAGGGGTCAGCTAACCTAAAACAAAATGGCAAAAAATGAAACAAAACAAAACATAATTAAGAGTAAGGTGACTATCAGGCAAATAGAAGCAGAAGAGTGCAACCCTTACTAAGAACAGGGCATTATAAGCTTAAATGATAAGAAGAGAATTGCTATAGAAAGATAGTAATGAACATTCAGCATACATAAGGACAAATTGAGACAACAATAACTGAAAAGGAGAGGAGTCAAAGATCCAAATCCACGAAGGGAATTCGAGATAAGGCACGTGCAGAAGAAAGTGGATGACTGTATGTGTGTGTGTGTGTGTGTGTGTGTGTGTGTGTGTGTGTGTGTGTGTGTGTGTATATATAACTATAAAGATTCAGAACTGAAGAATATAACATAAAACAAGAAGAATCAGAGGGAAAATTCACATAAGCAAACCAAAATAAAACAAACACACAAGGACAAGGAAGCAATGGAAACACCAAGCTACCAGAAATCAAAAGTTAAAATGGCTCTAAGAAGACCTCATATTTCAATAATCACACTAAATGTAAATGGACGTAACTTATCAATAAAAAGGTACAGAGTTGCAGATTGGATCAAAATAGAAAACCCAACCATATGCTGCCTCCAGGAGACACATTTCAGCCCCAAAGACAAATATAGACTCAAAGTTAAAGGATGGAAAATGATATTTCAAGCAAATGGCATTCAGAGAAAAGTGAGAGTAGTGGTACTAATATCAGATGAAATAGATTTCAAACTAAAAAAGGTAAAGAAAGATACCGAGGGACATGTCATAATTCAGAGAAAAGAGGGAGTAGTGGTACTAATATCGGACGAAATAGACTTCAAAATAAAAAAAGGTAAAGAAAGATACTGAGGGACACTTCATAATGATAAAAGGAATCATGCACCAAGAAGACATAACACTTATTAATATCTATGCTCCCAATCAGGGAGCCCAAAAATATGTAAAGCAATTACTAACAGAACTAATAAGAGAAATAGACCAAAACACTATCGTACTAGGGAACCTAAATACCCCATTGTTGCATATGGACAGGTTATCTAAACAGAAAATCAATAAGGAAATAACATCTTTAAATGATACATTAGACCAATTGAACATAATCGACATTTACAGAGCCTTCCATCCCAAAACTGCTGCTTTATACATTCTCAAAGTACACATAGAACATTCTCAAAGATCGACCACACACTGGGACATAGAGATAGCCTCAACAAATATAAGAGTTGAAATCATACCAACCATATTCTCTGATCATAATGCTTTGAAACTAGAGATCAACTGCAAAAA